AATGATTTTTTTATTTAATATTAAGATAAAATACAAAGTTAAAAAAATTCCAAAAATATATGACTTATACTGTATATAAAGTTTATTTTTAATATATAATTATTAATATAATTAAACTTTTATTTAAAATTTATTTAATCATATTATATGATTACTTTATATTGGATTATATCTTATTTTGATTTCTTATAATTAATAAAGTTATAAAAAAGATTTTACTTAAACATTTTAAAAATAATAAAAACAATATAATATTTCTAATAAATTTTTAAAATAAAATTTAATTAACAATAAATATTTTTTAAATAAATTTAATATTAATAAAAAATTAATTTTATTTTTTAAATTTTTAAATAATATATATTTTATATTATATTATATTATATTATAAATATGATTTTGATAAGTAGAATAATATTTTTTTGTTTTAAAGAAATTGACAAGACTAAATAATTATAAATAATTATTTAATTCTGATATATAATAAAATATTGATTATATTGCAATATAACTTTTATATAATTGAATTAAAAATTCTAATGTTGTCTTAATTCAATTAATAAAATTTAATATAAATAAAATTTTATTTATTATTTATATAATTGTTATATTCAAAAATTAAATTATAATTATTGTCTAAATAAGAATCTAGTTAATAGATTCTTAATTTAGTTGCTTTTATTTAGAATTATGAAATATTTAAGCTATGGTAAATATTTTCAATACAAAATTTATATCTTGGATAATATATATTTAAATATTTAAATATTAATCCAAATAGAATTTATAAAGACCTAACAAGTAAAAAAATTCTTGATAGTAAATTTATAAATTATAAAATTTAACGATATTATTTATTATAATTTTATAATATTTAAAATTTTTTAATTGTTTTTTTAAAGTTATTTTATTTTTTATTAATTGTTCTTTTAAAGTAATTTAATTTATATATGTTAGCAAAAGTAATATTAATATGCTTTTATATTATTTTTTTATATAACAATTTTTGAGAAAGAATTAAATTATAGTTAAATTTTTTAAAAAGTTTTTTATTGATAAAAATTAAATTCAATTTTAACAAATTTTATTATCAATTTTTTTTGATTAACTATAAATTTGATACTATTTGATCAATTATAAAATTTTTTTTATTTCGAAATATTCAACCAAAACATTTTTATACCAGTTAAATTAATTTCAGTTTAGTTGATTCAATAACTTATAGCGAATTATTTAAATTTTTAATAATTTATCAAAAAAAGTTAAAATAACTATTCGATAATATGCTTTTTGTTTTGCAAGAGTTGTAGATTGCTTAATGTTTAGGTGTATTGATAGAGTTTTATTTTTCAAGTATGATTTTTTGAATTTGGATGTCAAATTTAAAAGAATTAACCAGTAATTTTAAAAAATTCATAAAATCATTTTTATAATAGATTAGAATTATTTGTTATTTGTCGAAGTGCTATATAATTTGTTATTAACAAACAGTATTAGTAATATTCGTGGATAATATTTGTAAGTGCAGCACTACTATTACAAGGATTAATTTACAGACATTTCTCCTTCGATGGATTTTTTGAATCATTAGGAAATAATGCCTTTGTCACGGAATAAGTAGATAAAACAAACAAAAACAAATAGTAAATTGTATTTGTTACTCTTAGTCTAAAGAGTCTTAGAGTTCGATATATAGAGATCATGTAGAAAATCAAATAAAACCTCGCAAATCAGCATCGACAGATACCATCGCCAGGTGAATTAAGATAGGTCTTAAAGAGAGTCAGAACTAATAAATGTGCATCTTTTCAACTTTATCACACGAAACAATAAAGTAGAGCCGACATCAATTTTGGAAACGTGCAGCTGGTCAAGTCTTATCAAAGGTTTTATTAGCTCCAACATTATTTAATAATAATGTGTTTCAAAAATTACCGAGAAGTCATTTTTCTTATAGAGCTATGTTCAAAAAAACGTTGTGTGCGTTGGAATGTCGGATCAAAATGAACTCACGAAAATGTCAGAACAAACGAAAGACATTAGAAATTCTTGAGTGAGAGATTGTATTAAATAAATGGTAATACTTATTGCAACAGTAATAAATGCTATATTATCAACATCGTTTGTCTTTGTATAGTTAATGACGTATATACAGTATGGTTCTATGGAACGATCACTTAATAAATTCGAAATCGGGGCCGTTAACCAAATAAATAATTGATGTACATTTCTATAAATCCGAATCTAACCATAGTGAGAATCTTGTATAGAATCCGGTATTTATTTTATTTATTTTTTTAGGAGTTAAAGTAACCATTAATATTGGACGATTAATTATTAAGAGAACCAAACGTGGCAATCGTGTTACATGATAAAATTGGTACTGTAACTGAAAAAAAGGTATGCGCTTGCACTTATATTATGTATTTTTTCCTTAGTGAACTTTGAATCTTTATACCTATACGTACTGTATACTAATAATCGTCTGATTATTAAGCAGTCATTTCCATGAAAAGTCAGGATGTAGGAAACCATCATTATGTCGATGGAAGATTCAAGAAGAGAATATTATTCGAGATCATCTCAAGATTACATACTTTCACAGAAATTTTAACGTTGCACAAGTAATGACAACAGATTCGCCATTGGTGTAATTATTCCAAAATTTCCTTTTTGCTCTTAAATATAGAGGACGAATTTTGGCTTAGATTATCAAAAAGAAATTGGGAGCCTAAAATTATGACTATGGAAATTCAAATCAGTATAATATGTATGGAGAGAATTCAACACAGGGTCGACACCAAGAAAATAATACGTGACACATGGTATATGGCATAAAAATTAGGCGACTTTGGCACATACCTATTAAGATTTATTGACAGTACATTTCTGTTTATTATTACAAAACACGTAATTAAGTGCATATATCGCACTGGTATATTTATGATATTCACTGTCACCACCGTTTCACTAGACTAAATTTCGGCATTGTTTCACTAGGCAAGCATCGGTTAAATTTAAGGTTTTCTTCCGTATTATACGTATGTACAAATAAATTCCAATTAATGGAATCTGCATGTGAAATATTTGTGAAAAATTTTTTGCTGAAAGATGACAACCCTTTTTATTATACAATAAGGTTGAATCTTGACCTTATTATATTAAGATCTTTGACGTTGTATGCTTCTTTAATGCTTATTTATTTTCTCAAATGTCGCAAAATTTAAACTCAGGATATGTGACCAATGAAGTTACCACAATCGCTTCTTTTGAAACGGGTACCAAATTAAACGAATCCTCGGGAATTACGAGTAGTATACAAGAAGTTCGAGATGTGAACGATGTCGATCTTGAAAAGGGAAAAGACAAAGATGTCAAAGCCGAAATGACCAAAACCCAAGTTATATTGGTTTTTGTTGGGTAAACATAATTAAAAGCATTATCTTGTTACTTAAATATTTCCGCGCGAATTCCAACTTTAATTCATAAATGTTTATCAGTCTTTGCTTTGGTTTGTTTCTGGCTGCATTGGATCAGACAATAGTAGCGACCGTGGTGGTTTGTAGATATTCTTTCTCTAATTTTTCCAATAGGTGTGGCAGAGCTTCAAGAAAAAATTTTAACAAACTTTTATTTTAGCCTAAGATTGCAGTCGACTTTAAAGATCTTGACAGAATCGCGTGGATTGGAACATCTTATATGCTCACAGTGGTACGTACTTAAGCGTAGCTTCTCTTTTCTTCTTTTTTGTTTTGAACACCTTCCTATTCATCTAGTCGCTTAACCTTCATTAAAAATTTAGTCAGCTTTCCTACTAACGTATGGGAAGCTCTCGGACATATTCGGAAGGAAAATAACGTTTTTAGCAGCAATCATAATTTTTGAAATTGGATCTTTGTTATGCGGTCTTTCTAAAAGCATGGTAATTTTCATCACAACCCAATTCGCATATATTCATTATTCAACTATTTCATACTTCCCATTTAACATACATACTACTAAAAAAAGACAATGATCATTATCTCACGCGCCATTGCCGGTGTGGGCGGAGGTGGTATCATTGGGTACGTGGGCTTTTCTTACTAATTCCATCAATTTTCTACGCATGTTCACTGAAGTTCACATCATTGTAATTTATGTAGATTGGTTTTTATTATTATATCCGATATTGTTAGTCATGAAGACCGCGGGAAATATCAGGGCATGAATATATATTATATTATAACTTCAAGCTTAACTTTAAATTCTAGACACAATATTTAAAACTAATTGTTCATATACATTCTAGGAATGATTGGTGGATGGTAATACTTTTTTTGAAAATTTTTTTTTGAAAGTACAGTTGATTTTTCGAGTTTTTTAACTCAGTCTAAAAAAAAAACTAGCTTCGGTGTTGCTTCAGGTAAATAATTTCTTTAAATTTTCTTTTTAATTTTTCATAAAAAATTACACATTTCATTCTTTTTTTTTTTTATAAATCAAGTACTCGGACCTGTTCTGGGTGGAGCTTTCGCAGATAATGAGAAGATAACATGGAGGTTCAAATATATATTTTTCTTTAAATTCGGTTTTTACTTTATAAAAAATAACTTGATTTTATGTGGATTTGTAGATGGGCGTTTTACATTAACCTTCCCTTAGGTGCTATAACAATTATTGTGTCACTACTATTTCTTCATCTTCATCAATCTACTGGATCTTTTCGTGAAAAACTTGTACGTATTGATTGGTTGGGAACTCTCGTGATTGCTGTCTCTACAGTCTTAATACTGCTCGCGCTAAACTGGGGTGGAAACGAGTATGCATGGAATTCTTCTTTAATTATTGCTTTACTTGTCACCGGTGTGACTGGATTTATCCTTTTCGGATTTGTGGAATCTCATTTTGCTTTAGAACCTTTAGCTCCCAGTAAGTATTATGTGCATGTTCATGCTTCTTGATATAAATTTATTTACATTGAAGAATTCTTTCTTTTCAGTTCGATTGTTTAAATATCGCACCGTGTCTGTTAGTTTGTTTGTAAATATTTTCCATGGAATGGCCTTTTTCTCAATCCTTTATTTTATTCCGCTGTTTTACGAAGTTGTTGATGAGGATAACGGTAATGATTACAATATTACTAATTCTGGATACCCTTTTAAAAATTATCTTAAATAAAATTACTTTATAAATAGCAATAAATTCTGGCCTCAAGCTTCTTCCATTTGTTATTGGCGTTGTGTTTTCGATTATCTTTTCAGGACAACTTATCTCAAGAACGTCGAAAATTCCATATAAAGGGTATTGTATATCCAGTGGTATACTAATTACAGTATCTATTGGATTAATGAGCACCCTTAACGAATCATCGAATCGTGGTCAACAGATTGGATACTTATTGATTGGTGGGATTGGGATTGGTTCGATTATCCAAACAACTTTGTTGGCTGGACAAGAGGTTGTAGAATATGAAGATATTGCGTCAATTACAAGTTTGCTAACTTTCGCTAGAATGAGTAAGATGAAAATATGTCGAATTAACTCTGATCAAGAATTTTTATTTTTTCTTACTTATTTTTATTTATATTATTATTTTTAAACCAAAAAGTGGGAGCTGTACTGGGTCTTTCTATTATTGGATCAGTCTTTAAGAATGAACTTTCCAAAAATCTGGATTCTGCAAGAAATGAAATAGTTCAACTTGCTCCCTTTTTGCCACCCCTAACGTCATCAAACCTTGTCAATATTATTGCCAACTTTTCGAGCCACTTGCCCCAAAAGGTGATGGTACTCATAATCGAACAATTCACGAAATCCTTGAACACCTCATTTAAGGTGGCAACTTCCTTTGGAATCATGATATTTTTATTTTCGTTATTTATGGGGAATGAAAAACCTGGCTTTAAAAAAAGGGAGGGTGAAGGTGATAGTGCACTGGTGGGTCTCTGAACATTCCAGGCAGGTGTGTATTATTTGTTCGCTAGTTTAAACTTTACCTAGAAATTACGTATAACTGATAGCTTTAAAGTCCTGTTATTAAGTTTTTTATACGTGGATATTTTTGAAAAAACTATCATTCAACTTACGAATTATCTTGGATATAGAAAAGTACTTGTTTATATTTCGTATTGCTGCTGATATTTGAACAAGGGTAAATTGTTTGATTTTTTTGTTCTAAAAATGAATTGAATCACATAATGACTGTTACTTATGTGCTTTGATCTATTAATCACAGTAGGAAAAAAGTCATAATATCCTTTGGCTTTATATTGATGCACAAAATTTCCTAGTTTATCAGATGTGATCTGGCTAGTATAAAGTCTTGCTAATATCTAGGAAGGTATCTAACCTAATAGCAGCTTGTAAAATGTAATCTTAACTTTTTTAATTTTACTGTAAATTGTATTCTGTTTTTTAATAAGAAATCACAAAAATTTATTTGTTTATTTGAATAAAAATAAGTTGATGTTCTTAAATTCAATATATATCTATTCTAAGTATTCCATATTTTTAAGAAGAGATAATAAGATTTTTTTTCAATAAAGTTTTTTTTTTTAATGTTAAAAAAAATTATAAAAAAATTATAAAAATTAATTAATTTATTTATTTACTATTTTATTTTCATTACATATAAATAATCTTTGAAGAACTAATGAAACTATATATTAATTTTATAATTCTTTTTTTTTTGATAATATTGATTTTTTATTAAAATATATGTAAATAAAATTTCAATTAAAAAAAAGAATTTATATCTTTTAATTTACATAAGTTAAATACTAGATTATCAAAATACAATAACTAACTAACTATATTAACAATTACAAAACTAATGATTTTTTAAATAGTAATGTATTAAACTATATAATTTAAAAATACTCTTTTCTGCAAATCTCAAAATTTTTAAAAATTTCCTTTTTTGGTAATACTAAAAACATTCAAAAACACTCAAAGAAACACTTAAAAAAAATATCAAAAAGAAAAACTTACAATATCTTTTTGAAAATAAAGAAGGACAGATATAACAAGTATACTATGGATTCAAAAAATATACTAACTCTTTTTTATTTCTCAATTTTAAAAACAGATACTTGTGATTTCTTACGGGAAAAAACAAAGAATACAATTCACAATAAAATTAAAAGAGAAATTTAGTACTATATTTTACAAGCTACCAACCAGTTATGCATCAGGTTAGATATCTCTCTAAACACTAACAGGACTCAGTATTGGCCAAATCACATCTGATAAACCAAACAATCTTGTATATTAACACAAAATCAGAAGGTATCAAGATTTTCTCATTACTGTAATTAAAAATAAAGATACAAATCTCAATATTTTTTGAAGATAAACAACAATTGTTATATGATCAAATTTTGTTAAAAACAAAAAACCAGAGACAGGTTACCTCCTTCCAAAGATCAACAGTAATACAAACTCATACTTTTCAAATCCAAACAATAACAAAACTATCAAACAAACAAATACAATCTAAAATATAAACATGTATATATAACAACTTCAAAGTTTATCAAAGTTAGCTTACTTCTAAAAAAAGATCTGCAGTAGCATAAACATATTAATATTATAAATTAAGTAACAAAACACAATTAGAACTTATCAAAACAAGCAAATCACAAATCTCTTGGCAAAACATGTATTAATCTTAATCCCATATATTAAAAAAGATATAATTACAATATACAATAAGCTGTTCTAAGCAAATTAACATATATCAAAACAAACAATAAAGCAAGCTAATTCACATATGTCAATCCAACAAAAGTTCAAGACAATAGCTAATTTTAGTTCAATTCAAATAAAAAATTCAATAATATAATATCTCAAAACAATCGAAGACAATTACAATAGAAAAAAACAAAGGTGGTTCCATATTTTAATTAAAAATAATACAACAAACACAATATCAGAATTGATAGATTTAGAAGCAATTATAAATATTACAGTTATAAATGCAATAGTTATAAAACTTCTTAACATCAACTTATATATAGCCATAAAATAAATATTGGCTAAAAATACATTAAATAAATCTGGATATTTAATCAACTAAATATAAGCATATTAAACAGATACTATATAATACAAAAAAAATAACAAATTTTTTATAATTATATTTTAATTAATAATTTCATAAATAATTTTTTTATAATAACTAATAATAAAACTCTTTCCCGTCAATCATCAATTTCCTTATTAGGAAATCTCTTCAAGAAGGAAAAATTCCACCAAGTTTTTCT